TTGCAGGCAATCGCAACTTTCCGCTTCTTTCCTGAAACCCAATACATTTGATACAGTATGTAAATGAGAATTCAAGTAAAATTTTTTTAAATATTTTTTCTACAAATGATTTACTGTGTTGAGACGGTCGGCGGTTAATTTTAAACAATTTACCTGACTACATCTAATACGGAATCCACCAATTCGGCACCCTCGGTGTAATGTCCTTTTGCCCAATTGTTGCCCGCGCCGGATTGCCCGAAAATAAAGTTGTCCGGCCGAAATATCTGACCGAATGGACCGGATCTCACAGAATCCATGGTGCCCGGTTCCAAGTCCACGAGGATCGCTCTGGGTACGTACTTGCCACCTAATATTATATTTTATAATGTCACCATCAGAGCACTTGTAACAAAACATTATTATTAATTGTTTATTTTATTTTCCATTTTACCAAGTGCCTCGGAATAGTACACATTAACTCGTTCCAGTTGTAGATCTGAGTCTCCATGGTATGAACCGGTTGGGTCAATGCCGTGTTCGTCAGAGATCACCTCCCAAAACTATAAACAAAAGGGGGGTTTCGTCAGTTGGTAATGTTGTTACATTGTATACAGTTGATCAAAAATATAATTAATATAATATCTAAATTTAGTGTTTGTATAATCATTCGGTATTCGATATCTTACAAGAATATATATATATTTAAATTGCATATTACTTTAGCACCAATTTGATTTCCACATTGACCGGCTTGCAAATGACAAATTTCACGCATGATGATGAAATTGAAAAAATGTACTGTTATTCGACATAAAACCGTAAAGATGAATGGCAGTAAATTATAGTCGAGCAAAACGATTGTACGAAAATAAACAATAATAGAAAACTAATAACTACATCTCAATATTTAAGCCTTTTTGGCCAATACGAATAACAATTTAATTAAAAACGTGTAATTCGTGCTATAACATTGATTAATGATATTTTCTAAAAATTGTATAAGCTTTACTGTGTCAATCTATTGAGTATTTATATTTCGAGGAAAGTATAGTGTAAATAACGTACATGTCCCCCTCCCCCCACTTAAAAAATGCCTGAAAATTTCTATTCAAATATTTTGTACGTCATTTGTATGAATTTGTTTTACAGTTCTTAGACTTTGCACGAATCTAGTACCTATTCGATCAATATCGAAAATACAGAACGCGGAGGGGGGCTGACGAAAGAAATTGTCTCGAGACAGTCGCTTCAAATGTTAATAATTAAGTATTCATATAATTTATATTGCACGATTCAAGAACTCAATTTGTATGAATTTATATGACCGTTTTCGGAATTTGTATGCAACCTCTCCCCACGTAATAATCGATATACCCATTTTACCGTGCCCTCCCCCCCATTCGGAAATGTCTACTTTTTCTTTCGCGAAAATATTAAACACAATTTGTATGAATTTGTATTTTCTATACTTACAATATTGTTGTTTTGTATATCAATATTGACCATGATAAATCTAAATCAAAATCTTATTGAGGTACTAACATAAAAAAAAAAGTATTTAAATATTCTAGCTATATAATTATTTAATAGTACGCCTTAAATCAGTTAGGAAATATAGTGGGGATACCCACTAAATAGTCTAACCGGACTCGGGAACTAGTGTCCCAGTTTATTTAGAGTTCGGAAATACGCGACCGGCCGCCCAAGGGATCGATAAAGCTACCGTCGCTTTCTGCTCGCCACCCTCTATTGCAAAACTCAGCAGATTAGACTCCGATAATACATTACCTCTAACACTTCATTATCATTACCCCTTTTCAATCCCTTTCATCTCTATCGTATCCATGCATCACTCTCTATCTTTCACTCTCACTCCCTCCCTCTCTCTATCTCTCTCTCTCTCTCTCTTTCTCTTTCTCTCTTTGCAAGTGACGATCATTACTTCATTCGTTTCACCACCATATCCCTGCCAAAGAGTAAAAAAAAAAAAATACAATAGTTTATGTATTTGAGATGCGTAGGAACATTAAACGCCATATTGTTTTATCCGATTCAAGATCGTCGTGGATATTTTCAGCATCGCGATACAATCTAATAACCACGTATTTGTAAATACTGCAGTGGTCGATGTCTGGAAACATATTTTGGACACTTGCGTTCATTATTTTTCGTGAAATCGGTACTTTCGAGTAGAATACGAACGAAATACCCATTCGTAAAGAATTTGTTTAATTTTTAAAGTGTTTAAATCGCATTTAAATCATTTTTTTTTCTTGATTTAATTTACATTGTTTAATTTTTAAATAAAATTATTCTTATAATATTGTACTCATATGTACACATTAATACACATTAATACACAGTCCGGATAGATAACTAAATAATCAAAAGTATTTATTATTGTTTTTTGCGATTCTTCATAACTGAAACTGAAACACTATTAAAATAAATTTACTGACGAGCTTATTGCGATAGTGTTTTAAATAAGATTAAAAACTAATTGAAGAAGTAAATATTTAATACAAACACATATACTTTGTGTAATTGTCTACGGTGAATTCAGTAGCGGATTTAACCATTGTGCCGCTAAACAAATTACCGCATTTTAATATAAATATTTTTCTAGTCTAAAAAATGTTATTAAAGCATATAATTACAGTTGATTCCTGTATTACTTAAAATTTTAACGATGTAAAATAAAAATATTCAGTTGTTATAAAAATGTATACATACATTCACATGAATAACTTAATTATAAAAATATGATATAAAATATAATGATAAAAAACATGGTAGTAAAAAATGCTTAAATAGTTAATTTTTAAATTATATTCAAAATCAAATAGTTAGTGCCTAGTACCCATCGGCTTTAATAATATAAAACGTTTAAAAATTAGTTGCATTAATTTTAGTTCTAGTAACATATAGTAAAAATGTAATATTAAAAATGATTTGCTGCCCTCGAGAAATTTCCAACCTAAGCACTAACATATAGTGTTTACTGAGAAATACGATACTGGGTGAATTTATATCGATTTAAATTTTAAAATACGTTATTTTTTGCAAAATTTTTAATTATCGGTCACCCACTGTTTTTATCCCTGTATAAATGTCTTCTCTAATGTAAGTAATATAATTCCAGTAGCCACTCCTGGTCCGGATGAAATTTTATTAATTATGATATGTACCGAATCAGACGTTATTATTATTTATTTAATGTGTTTGAAATTTATTCAGTTGTAAATCGCTAATTGGGAGTTACTACTCCCAAGCTCGAAGTGACTACATATAAGCGGCTAAAACTTTATGGAATTAATTTTTATATTAACTATCTCGTATTTCCGTATTTGTAATCAAATAGTTCATCAGTTGTTACGTATCTATTTTGAATTAGGTTTTAAAAATAATAATTAATGTTATTAACTTTTTTTAAACTGAGTTAATATTTTTTTCCGAGTTATTTTCATTAACTTGCCCATCTTTGATTATACCAACCCACCCCCCGAAAAATTCAAAATTTGAAGAGGTTCCTATTTTCTTTCTTTTATTATTTATTAATATTATTGATTTTATATAAATAATAGTACAGGCTTAATATAAAGTACGAATAATAAAATATTTTTTTATTAATATTAACAATAATAATAATTAATGAAAAAATAATAGATAAATCAAAATATATTTTTTTATAAGCATTTGCTATAACAATACATCATAATACAAATTATGTATATCAAATTTTTAAGTATACGGTATATAATCCCTAGTTTCCCCTTCTCCCGTATCTGACCCTGCACGTATATTACCGATGTTGTCTGGTATTTATAAAGTATGTATATTCTATAATGAACGTTTTTACCGTATTACCTTTGCTTTTTGGAATTTCGTATAATACCTAGGAAATGTATGGTAAGTATTATATACATTTCCCAATGATTTCAGGCATTTTGTTTCGAACGTATACCAAGTAACGTTTTTGCACAGAAATAAATTGTTCATTTTTTTTTTTTTTTTTGTAATTGGGTGTAATTGGTGAAGCGACGGTCGGATTGTCGGGATCTTGGTACCGGGTTAAAAATTACCACCACGGTAACAAGGATCCATACAAAAACGATAGGGTCGCCAGTTCGAACGCGACTACCGGCGGTTTCCTTTTCTAGGCCAGATGACCCTCCGGTGAGAATGAACCGTTGTCCCTTCCGACGTTGCGATTGAGCCTCAAAAATAATTATAAAACAATGAACATCACTGAATGCTGGATATGAATACAAAATCAAGGTGCCCACATGCGCCATCTTTAAACACGCCCCCTTCATGCCAAAACCCTTTTGTAAACACGCACTCAACGGACCCTTGGCAAAACGTTCTACTCGTTAGCGAAAACCGATGGGAAATCCGTTCAACTGTCGCCTAGGAAACCGCGCACGGTGAACGGGGTGGCGCGTGCCGATCGCATCGTCCTCGAACGCTAAGCGGTGCACCGTGCCCGGGCGCGCGCGGTGCATCATCCTCGCACGTACGCGCACGCATCGGTCTAGGGCACGTGCGGTGCAACGCGGTACCGCGCACGCACTCGCGGCGCACCAACACGCCGTTTTGTGCGGTAAATCGATGGACCCAAAGACTTTGTACGAGGGCGTTGGTCCACCGGGGGTTGGCGACACCATCGGCACGCGCGGAACGGGTCCACGGCTACCGGGCCACCTGCTGCCGCGACGGCTCTCCGTCGACCGTACCCCTCCACCCCGCGGTGTCCCGCCGTAGGGCACGTGTCATGCGTCAACGCGGACGGCCCAGCGGTCGCGTCCTCGTGCACCTCAGTGTTGCCAACTGTCGGGTCCGTCATCGTTGTTGTACGACAAAATTACAAGACCGCGCGGCGTCCTCGAGCACCGCAGCGCTGCCAACAGTCGGGCCCGCCATCGTTGTCATACGACAGCATCACGAGTGCGCGTGAGTCGGCAACAGCGCGTCCGGCACACGTTCATCAACCGCACCGTCGGCAATGCAGAGTTTGCCGCGCGTGATCACGTGACCGACGACCAATCACAGAGCGTATCGCCAACGTCGCCGTCGCGCGCTATCGATCGCACGTACAACAGCGTACGAACATCACGCACGTAAAACGACACCGTCCGGACCTGTTGCCTGTCACACAGTTCCTCAATTCGCGTCGCTGCCCTACCTCCTTTGCCCCGTTCGTCCGTCAAGCGTACGCCTACCGTAGCGTGTCCGCAACCGTTCCGGTACAACGAAAACGCTCTCTAACCGGTGACCATGGCCAAGTCCTCCAAGGCGTCCAAGTCCTCCAGCACCGCTGTCAAAGACCCTCGCGAAGAGTTGGTCGAGATCGTCAGGCGCAAGTCGGAAGTCGCCGTAAGTATCTTCCCAATGATTTCGGTTCGTTTTTACTGCACGCACGATTGCCTTTGGTCCGATCCTGCGGCGTGTATGCGAACGTTTCGTAGAAACGGTTCGCTATCGTATCCCGTGTACTCTGCCGAACGAGCTGTTTCTATGACGTTCACACGCGCACGTGCAAGCGACGCCACCGGCTCGTGCGACTCCGGTATAAATAAATAATTACAAAAAAAAAAAAAAAACGATTGCGATGTGCAAATCAGCGATCGGTACGGTTGAGTCGTATCAGTACGCAGACAATGTGTGTTGACAATTGTTGGGCGGCCAAACTTTGGCTTTCCGGTAAACGTGGGTGAAACGCTGTCTTCTCGGTCCGAACCAAGACGTTTGAACAGACGACTGCAATCGTTGTTTGTATAGCATTTGATGAAACGGTCGCTTTGCCGAATTGTGTGTAATGGCCGTGATTACCCGTTCGGTAATTTCTTCTAAACATCTTGTTTTTCATAAAAATATACTGTAGGTACAATCACCTAATTATATTGTTGGTATTATTACCGGTCTGTCGGTCCACTTGTTGCCCATGTAAGAAAATCATCTCCCACATTTAATGTCTAATGTCTATGTTGGATCACGTGAAGCTTTATATATCTATGTACATAAATAAAATTTAATAATTATATTTAATACTACAATTGCTGCACCACTTTATATTTTATCAATAAAAGCTTAGCTAATATTTATTGCGTACCACAACATTGACAATAACAATTATTTGTACGTTTGAAATAAAATTACATTTTTAAATTATTGTTTGCTAAAAGAAGTAGTACATAAAATATGAAGTTGTAGTTTGTGTATTGTATCTCTGTTGTATTTGACACGGCAAATTGTAAAATTTAGACCAAATTATGAATTTATAGTAATAGGTAAATGAGAGAAAAAAGTAACAGATTCATTATTTGTGAGTAACAATCAAATTGGATTGCAACTTTTTTTTTTTAAATATTTAATAAAAAAAATATTTTTTAAACAGACATATAACAAACCCTGTAGTGAATACATGTTAGTTTTTAATTGTTAATTGAACGCTTTCATTTGTTTTAAGGAAACTTTAGCTAATCTTGAACGGCAAATTTATGCATTTGAAGGAAGTTATTTAGATGACACTCATTTATGTGGTAACATCATACGAGGTTGGGATCAATACTTAACAACAGCTAATAAGTCTGCCAACTCTAAGAAAGATAGTCGTACCAGAAAATTCAAAGAAGCTGAAAGGTTATTTTCAAAATCTTCCATTACTTCTATGGCTGTAAGTTTACACTTGGTGTTTCAAAATTAAATAATGATGAAATTAAATAGTTATAACATAAATATTATTAAACAATAAAATATGTCTAATTGAATTTCAAAATATACTATACTGTAGAATTTCCATTATGACATGAAGAACAATTAAGTGACAACTAATAGAATACATATGCTGTAAATTATTTTACTCAGTATAATCTTTAATGTATTTTACACATTGAAAAAATTATTAATTTTGTTAAAATATTAATGAATTAGTAATAAAATAAAATAAGCTATTTTTTCAAATACTGTTTTGTATAAATAAAAATGGTTGGTTTTTGATATTCAGACTAAAAACAAATTGAATAGTAAGTATCTTCAATGAAAAAAATAAATTAACATATTTGCAAAATTTCATTTCAGAGTTAATAGTAGTTTTTTAATTAGTAAGATAAACTCAAAGAGTTTCCTAACTTGAAGTTAAGTCATAGAAATAGCAAATTAAAAAAAAATTGATATTGATTTAAGTGTTAGGCAGTTTCACAAATAATAAATATAAATAACATTACTTCAAATAATAAACAATTAAAAATACTTATAAAAAAAAAATTAACAGAAAAAATTCTATGATTTTAATACAGTCTCTTTTCATTTTTAATATTAGATCCTACATTTTTGTTAAAATATATAAATAATATTAATTTTATATTTAAGATTGTAAGATGTTTAATACTATCTGTTAATTTTATAGGCTGTTAGAGGTATTGTGGAACCTGATGAGAAAGGTAAAAACTTAAGATTATTTATTTTTATTCTATTAATTCTATTATATCAGTATTAAAATGAAATAATTGTAATTTTATCATAATTATTAGTAATAGTAATCACTGATTCCGATTCACAATCTGCCAGTGAAACTGATATTCGTGTTGTTAAAGAAAGAGAAAGAGTCAAAGGCCATAATAGACCAATCAATTCCAAACATTTGTTGGCTTCTGCTAAGAAAACATCAAGTACAAAAAAAATTAGGAATCGTTAATCTTCATTCAATGAATCAATAAAGTAAGTATTCAAAAATAAAATGATTAAGTTAATTTTTCTTACATAGTGAAACAATTGTATTTTAATCTGTGTATGTTGTATTCACATCTGTGAGTATTTAAATTTTTATCTCTTGAAATTCATTACCTATCAAATATTATCTTGTTTATACAGCCAATAATTAATAAAATGTAATGTAATGTAATATGTATTTGTTTATTTATCATAATATGATTTTATTAGGTATGCTGAATTTAATATCTTTCAACAGAATATTTTTTTTCAGATTTTCAAATAGATCCGGTAACTTCAATCAGAACATGGACCGACTAATCATCTTATCATCAAAGTATATTACACATTATTACAACTTATTAAAAATACAAATTTTTTCTTTTATGATAATTAATATTCTTCTAAATATTTATTTACTTAATGTTATTCTTTATAATTTTTACTTTGTTTACTTTTTTACTGGGATTTATTTGAGGATACAACCATAAAAATTTCTGAAGATATATATAATTACAATGTATATATATACATAACTATTATGAGATACATTTTAAATTACATACATTTCTATACAATATTGTTTTTAAAGAATTTTTTTGTGTGCTTTAATTGATACAGTAATTGTTAATCCATGAATTTATTCATTAAATTTTATCCTATTATAACAACTATTTAAAAAATATTACTATACAGTTAAGAAATATTATATTACTTTTACAATACATGTAAATGAGTATTTAAAATGAGATATGTGTGTTTTTTTTTTATAACTTGATTGTCATCATATAATAACCTTATAAAAAATAAATACTTTACTTATACCATGGAGTTTTATAAAATGAACAAAAAATTTATCAAAATTAAATATATTTAGTTGTTACAAACAATAAGGCAAGCATTCATACAGAAAAATATATATAATTTATTTGGCTATATAGCTTACATTTTAAACTTTCTTTTTAGTTAAATAAAAATTCCAAAAATATATGTGTTAGCGATTTATAGTTTATTTAATTGCTGTAGCCTTTAGTGCCTAAATTTACTAATAAACAATTTCACAGAGGCCGTCTTATAGAGATCTTAATACTAAGCCCAAGATTTCAAAGAGCTAAAAACTTGGGGGTTAGCTCATAGAAACACTAAACCGATTCCCAAATAAATATAAAATAATATTGTTTTCTTTTAGTTTCTCTATTATTGATTACTGTAAATTTATTAATTAAATTAAAAATAGTTTTAAATGACACAACTAAAAAATAATATTCTTAAGAGTACTTCTATATTCAACACTTATTTAATGAAAAATTAAATTGTTTTTTGTTAACATTTGAAAAAAAATCATTATATTAATTTCTTACATGAAAGAATTGTAAAAATATCTTATTTCCTTCGTAGTATATACAATAATTCTTGAGAAAATTTATGAAACTCATGGCCCCAATAAAGACAACAAAAAAAAATTATTTTATTTGAACTATTATATTTATTTACTTATGAAAAAAGAAACCTGTACGCCAAAATTAAGTTGGATTCTTGTAAGTTAATAACCCCAGTAGATGAAGCTGTACCATGAATAAAAAAAAATTTTAAATGGTGCTAATTAAGAATTGAGAAACAAATTGAGAACAAATTTCTTACATTCTCATACGGATGTGAAACTTGCATAAGTAAAACTAATCTCTGAGACTACATAGTTATTATAAACCTATAAGTTACTGTCAAAATTACAAAACTACTAATGTTTTATTGTTTGTAGCTGCTATTTTTAATGTAAATAGGCATGTAAACTTAATTATTTAAGAAAAAAAATAACTATCCAATGCATTTCTAAAATCATTGAATAACATATATTTAATAATAAAGTTAATAACTTACTAAGTTGTTACAGCGTTACAAGGAAAATAATTAAGACTTATTGGATGTTTGGAGTATTAGTCTCCTTCAACCTCCCCCCCCCCTTATATTTTATATAACTGGTAAACAGATTCATATTAATTTATAACAATGCATTTAAACATTCAATTTAATCATTCAATAACAATTCAGCACTTTATCATTCAATAAATGTTTACCATAACCAGTTAATTTAGAAGACTTTCTTAACCAAGCTACAATCAAACACTTGAGAAAAAAAAAGCATCTATTTAATTGAATTTGAACTTACTTTGAAAGTGCAGATACTATATAGCATCATTTACTTTAATTATTAGATTATTATTTTGTTTTGTATGAATTGCCTATATAAAACGCCTTAAAATTTAACATATGACGTGCGATACAGGACAACAATTAATCCATACAATTCTAGTTTATTATCTCTTTGACAGTTATATTAGTATACATTTATTAATACTATTATGTGGTATATTGGTCTACAGTTCAATCATTCTAAAACATAAATATTGATTTTGGATTAAGAACATGGTTTTTATTTCTGTTTAATCTGTAGTTCACATTTATCAGTGTTCAAGAGAATAAAACTTATTTGACAAAAAGAGGTGTGTAATTTTGGTATAAATGTTATAAAAGGAGTATTTTAGATGATTTATGTATTCGCTATAAATATAATGTTTTTTGAGTGTAAATTATAACACTATCATATCAAAGGTAAAGTTTTGGGACTTGAATTATAGAAAGAAAAATGATACTGTTAGAATATTATACATAGTTTAATATATTATATTGTTTATTCGTGATGATCACTTCAAAGTTTATAATGTATCTAACTTTCAAGTCAAAACAATATAAATGGTTGAATTTCTAAATCTTAAAATTAATCAATTAATTAAATTAAAATTAAAAAACTGAAATAAAATCAATTAAAATAGGTAATATAATATCTAATGATGTTAATATTGATTAATCGAGTGATAAAAGAATTTAGTTATGAATTTTCAAAAGAATAGAAGTTTGATTATCTTTATCAAACATAGCAATTAGTAAATCTTTATAGAACATCATTTTTTGAATGCGATTATTCATCAACACATCATAACTTCCATTTCATTGCCTTTTCCTACATAATGTGACGCAGTGGCATACTTAGACCTGATGTTTAGGGGGAGGGGGGTTAATTTTTAAACACTTTGGTGGCCCTGAAATAAATAAGACATATCGTAAATTTTAATAGATTATTTAGATTATTCATTTTAATTCACTTTTGTTACTATTTTTAATATATTTATGAAAAAAAAAATGAAATGACACATACTAGTTCCATTCGTCACTTAGTTTGATGAGTGAAATACAAGAAATACTTACTAGCACAAGCAGTGCCGTGGTAATACGATAACGGTTATAGATTAAAATAGGTAGGGCTGGCTCAAGCAAAAATAGTGTAAGTAATAGGCAAAATTAAATTTTATTACTTCAAAAAAAAAAAAAAAAAATTAAAAAAATTGAGCTCTAATTTTAACTTAGCTCTTCCTTTTATTTTTATGTAATATATGTGATATACATGAACAATATTTTAATTTTTTTATTTTAACGTCAAATTCGTAAAGTTATAACATTTATTACAAATTCATTAGGGACATGTATTTAAATTTTAGGAATACAAATATTTATTGCTTTTTCAAATATTTTTCACTTTTAACCTTACAAATAATTAAACCATTATCATAACCTAATAAAATTAAAATTGTATTATAATGATAATATTGATACAATAAAATAAACTTAATTTTATCTAAAATTGATTTTTCTTGCTTTTAGTGAAACAAAGCTCTGTATAACTTTATCCGTGTCTAATTCTTCAGCGATTTCACTTTAAGTAGAAAGATTTACTAATCAGTCTTGAGATATATTTGATCGCAAATATTTTTTTAATATTTTAAGTTTTGTGAAATTCGTCTCGACTTTTGTAGCAGTTACAAAAGTCAATATACAGTAGAAGCCGCTTGTTAGAAACACTTTGGGACCAAAGTGAAATGTGTCAATTTACCGATTGTTTCTAATAAGCGATTGAATTGATTTGTACTATGAAAAAAAAAAAAAAAAAAAAAATGAAAAATACGTGAAAAATGTATTTAATGTAAGATGAAAAACGTTTAAATGAGCTGTGGCATCACGTAAACTAATTTTTTAAATTACGTCGTATGATTTTAATAACTCGCACTTCTGTTTAGAACTTAATCCTTGGCGTTTAGACATTTTTAGACTTAGATTTTTAAAATAACGAAACATCAATAATGAAACACTAATCACCTTTATGTACGCACGCCGAAGATGAACTAACAATACATACAGAAAAGAGCATTATTTTTATACATCGCATAGGACGTACTGCATTTAAAATAAAGAATAGCTAAAATATAAACGTAATGACATCAAAGATAAGATTAAATTACATTGGTTATCGCATGGATAATCGTGTCAACTGATTTTCGCCCGATTGTTTCAAATAACCGATGTGATGTTTAAATAATCCGATTTATTTTCAATATTCTAATATACGGCCGGTCCGTCCTTGTACATTTTGTTTCAATAACGTGATTGTATCAATTTTCCGTGTTTCTAATAAGCGGCTTTTACTGTAATTCTTAATATCACATAAATATTGAGGTATAGTTCTATCAACTTTGTTCTATAAATGTACTCAAGAACTGATTTTCTGGGTACCGATAGAAATAAAAAAAATGTACGAGTCAATTTTGAAAATGCCACCTCTATTAAAGTGCCGCTCTAGACAGGTGCCTAGCTTGCATATACGTTGAACCGGCTCTGAAAATAGGCATTAGTAGATGTAATAATTAGTAGTAGATGTAGATGATTAGTAGATGTGATAATAATACCATTCGTTCCTATTTAAAATATATTTTTAGAAATACTCAAATACACATATGTATCTACATAAGATAATCTACAGCTGTTTTGACTAAAAATATACATTTCATAAGAAACTAAATTTCGGGGAAGGGGGATTATTCACCGATGTGACGTGTTTTTATCAAAGTATCTAATGTTATATTATTATTTTAATGGTCTAAATTTTAGATCCTAAGATATTACAATTTAATGAAAATCTACAAAACCGTAATTTTTTTTGTGAAGTTTAAAGACTATTTTTTGTTAGTTGACACATATTTAAAAAATGAAATTTCCAATATAAAATTATGGATCATTTGAAACCGTGATCTATACCTTCTACAACATATTTTTATTGTGGAATATCACATGTGGCGTGTATCAAAGTATCAAAATATATTGTACGATTTATAATACGTATGTGAGCAATAATAAAAACGTAATAAATTATTTATGATTTAGATTATTATACATTTTTATTTGAAGCGATAAGTTTTAGATCAGTTAGTTACTTCGCTGTACAAAAAATTAAGTTTTACAAGAAA